GTGAGGAAAGGGAATCCCAAGTCCTCCAATCATCTTTTGCCCTTTCAAAACCCCTGGGCTAGGGCACTGCCAGCCAGCCTGTCACATCCTCCCCTGCGGAACCCTTCACCATCCCTGGTGAAGTGCAGGCCTCAGCCTGGGGGACTACTGGACCCATGGGGCAGTGATGGGGACCTCCCCTGGCACCCCCGGGGCATTGTAGGTGAAGCAGCAGACTGGCCGAAGCTCCCGCCTTGGCCCTTGGGTGCGGTCTGGGGCAGGACTCTGCGAGGGCCCTGGCAACTCGGGTTCCCTCTCACTCGAGGAGTCTGCCCCACTGGTAGGTAAAGGCGTGGGGATGTTTTCTCCTTCGGTGTCACCAGGTGGGGCCGCACGAGCAGCAGTCCCCATCTCCCCTTCGCCCCGAGGAGTGGCAGGTCCTAAGCTTGGGTGAAAGTCGGTAGGGTACCACCAGTCAGACGTAAGGACTAAATGCTCAAACTGTGATCGGTGTTTGCGGAGGAAGACCCTGCAGTCCTCCGGGGGAGCTGCAGGTACGATTGCTGGCTGGGTGGCGTGAGGCCTCCTCCTCCAGGGAGACCTAGGCCTCTCTTCTCGCGGCTCGCTCTCGGGTGGAGGGGCCCACCAATTCGCCAATAGGCAGCAGGAGGTTCCGGTGGACCACGCGACTTCGACCCGGTCCAGACTCAGGAGAGATCTCGTATACTGGGAGGTCTCTTAGTTGTCGCACCACTGTATAGGGTTCAGCCCACCACCGATCAGTGATTTTGTGTCTCCCAGTTAGCCCCAAGTTTCGCAGCAACACCCGGCCCCCTTCTTGTAACCCTTGCTCATGAACTTGAGCATCATAAAGCTGCTTATGGCGTTGCTGGTTTCTTCCAGCAGTTTTGGCTGCCAGTCGGTATGCACAACAGAGACGGTCCCAAAGCTGTTGTACATATTGACCATGAGTCAAATGTTGTTGGTAGACTCATTCTACTCCAAAGCACAAATCTATGGGTAACCGGGGCTCCCTCCCGAACATGAGTAAATATGGACTGACCCCCGTTGCATCATTCCTAGTGGAGTTGTAGGCATGCACCAGGTATGCGATACGCTGGCTCCATGCGGCCTTCTGTTCCTGCTGGAGGGTACCCAGCATGTTCAAGAGAGTGCTATTGAAGTGCTAAGGTTGGGGATCCCCTTGGGGGTGGTAGGGTGTAGTCCTTGATTTCTGTATGCCAGCCACTGTCAGTACCTCACGCAACCACCGGCTCTCAAAATCTCACCCTTGATTGGAGTGGATTCTTGCCGGCAGCCCAAACACGGAGAAGTATTTTTCCCACAGTACTCTGGCAACTGTTCTTGCTGTTTGATCTCACGTAGGGAAGGCCTGGGCATATCAGGTGAAGTGGTCTGTCACAACCAGCGCATTCCCCTTTCGGTGCCCCTCCCCTTCTATGGCTAGGAAATCCATGCACACCACCTCCGTGGGTTTTGAGCTCTGGATGGTGTGTAGATAGGCAGTTTGAGTGGGCAGGATCTTCCTCCACAAACACCAATCACAGTTTGAGCATTTAGTCCTTACGTCTTCAGCCATTTTGGGCCAAAAGAACCGCTCATGGGCTAGCGCCAGTGTGCGCTCCACTCCCATGTACCTAAAGTCATCATGCAAGGCCCGTAATGCAAGGGCCTTATACTTCTGAGGGAGGACCAGCTGCCAATATTTACGTCCTTCTGGGTCCTGCACCTCCCGATGTAGCACTCTATCAAACAAGCGAAGCCTTTCCCACTCCCTCAACAGGAGGTGGGCTGCTGGGGTAGCATTATTAAGGGTTGTGGGGTGGGTATTCCCTGATCTCCAGGCATGCAGCACCTTTCACACATCTGGGTCCTGTTCTTGCACTGTCCACCATTGCGTGGCCGTGACCTGGGGCAACGAAGAGGGAGTCAGCGTGGTGTACTGAACCCAGGCCTGTGGGATCCCCTCAGGGGGCAACCCCAACACCTCAGCCATGCAAACGGTACTTTCCCTTGTCCCCACAGGGTCTTGTAGCTGCAGGTTGCAAATGGTCTTCGCTGTCTCGGGGCTTCAACCACTCCTAGGGTTCCTGGGGACTTGTCGAGACAGGGCATCAGCATCCACGTTCTTTCGTCCCTCCTCTCGATAGTGCAGGCTAAAGGTGTAGTTGGCTAATGCCGCAATCCAATGTTGGCCAGTCGCATCCAACTTAGCGCTGGTGAGCACATAGGTAAGGGGATTATTGTCTGTCCACACCTGGAAGGTAGTCCCATACAGATAGTCCCGGAATTTCTCAGTGACGGCCCACTTGAGGGCCAGGAATTCAAGCTTATGTACCGGTAGCGTGTCTCGTTGGGTGACAATCCCCTGCTGGCAAAAGCCACTGGTCGCCAGTGTCCATCATGTTCCTGGTACAGTACAGCCCCCAGTCCCGACAAGCTAGCATCCATGTGCAAAATAAAAGGGTGTTTAGGGTCAGCATATGCCAGCACAGGAGCCTGAATCAACTGCCGGATCACCTCCTGGAAGGCATCTTCATACTGTGAGTCCCACTGGGGACCAAAAGCCTCTGTGGGGCTCCATGTCACAGGAAGCCCATTTAAGCCATTGTTTTGCCCCTTCTTGCGGGGCGACCTTCCCCCCTGGTGTCCACGAGTTAGGGCATTTAAAGGTCCAGTTATTGTAGCATAGTCTTTAACGAATCGCCGGTAGAAACCTGCAAATCCCAGGAACCTTTTCAATTCCCTAAAGTTCTTGGGTCAAGGCCAAGTGTAAGGCCAAAGTAAGGCCACCACTTACTTTCTCCGGATCAGTGCTGACCCCTTCCTGTGATACAATGTGTCCTACGTACTTCACAGAGGCCTGGCAGAACTTACATTTATCAATGGTGTGGAATCAAACAAAATGAATGCCTTAAACTTCGGTCAAGCTAAACTATGAGTCGTAAGATGACCGTGACAGCTGAGTGGGGAATTGCTGGCTCTGCGTGTTAGAGGAGACAAAGGGAAATATTTGTTCTTTGTAATTCCCCTGCAACTGCTTCACTCACCGCGGCCTTGAGATAGCAGGAAAGCATGTGCCTGTTCTTCCTGAGATAACAGAGTGCTTGTTAGTTGTCTTTGACTGCTTACTCAGAGAATTTTATTTTTGCAATCTGTCCTGTGTAATGGCTGTTCAAAAGCTTATATAAACTGCATGATTCTGTTTGAAGGGAGAGACCTCCCTGGAGTGCTGGTGAATCCATGTTGCTCTGAGTTCTCTCCTACAGTACTGTATTTGAATGAAAACTTCTACTGACCTGACCCTAAAGTCTACATGTGTTTTTCCATGACAGTTCTTGGTGCCGTGACTCAGATCCAGAACACACGTTAAAGAAGTAGGACCGCGGACCGTTCCCTGCTGACCCCCAGGCACCAAACTTAAGAGGTAAGAGACCTAATTCAAAATTTCTATTGGGCTTTTGGAGGAGGACTGGCCATAGGCTCCCAACTTAGCCGCGGTAACTGGACCCGAACCTTGTCAAAACAGGTCAGTTTAGAACCTTATTGCCAGCTAAAATTTTCTGTCTGATAATTCTGTCTGGTAACGTACATTCTGTTCAGGGAGAATCTGTCTGAAATCACCTTCATCCAACAGCACATTGGGCTTGCAGTTAGTTAACCAAGGCAATGTGGAAGGGGGTCTGGCCGACTGAATGTGCCCCATGTGTGAATGAATTGAATCTGAAAGGGATTGAGAGTCTCTGAAGACTCATCCCAGGGGCACCCGTCAGCCATCCAGGCTGCCCGCCGTGACAGAGTCCGACTCTAGCGGTTAAAGACTAGGGTGGTGCAATTTTACAGATTTATAAGACTGGTTTTGTAAGGCAATGTGGAAGGGGGTCTGGCCGACTGAATGTGCCCCATGTGTGAATGAATTGAATCTGAAAGGGATTGAGAGTCTCTGAAGACTCATCCCAGGGGCACCCGTCAGCCATCCAGGCTGCCCGCCGTGACAGAGTCCGACTCTAGCGGTTAAAGACTAGGGTGGTGCAATTTTACAGATTTATAAGACTGGTTTTGTCTTCCCCAACCCTTTGTCCCAGTAGCTTCTGTCAAAAACAGAAGTGAAAGGATTCCTTTTGTGTTTACCCCACCCAATCTGCCTCTGGAATGAGCGGAAGCTGAATCTGATTGTCGTAAGTCTTGGCGGACAAGCCATGGGGCCTGACAGACTAGCACAGACGTACCTTGAAATCTTTCCCTTGTCTTACCCGTGTGTGTGAAAATGGAGGCAGGTCAGTCAAAACAAGTTCCAGTTCCCTCTAAGGGACCTCCAGTGTACTATATGTACATACATTATTCTCCCAAAGCTTGCAAGTACCTGGATAAGTGGAACTGGTACACTAGGGATGATCCCATAAAACAATTTCCACAGGAAGGAACATGCAATCAGGATAAAATAGTGCACTTAAAAGGGGCTCTAGAGTCCTGTGGATCCAAAACACCACAAAACCAGTGGAACACATTCTTTTATTAGTATGATAAAATGTCCAAAAGGTGGACAGAATCTCAAACTAGAAGTCTCAAAGACTCACAAGAGAAATTAAAACAGCAGTTAAAAGCTGTCCGGGAGAAATTGGCTGCTCCCCCAAATTACACACCGGCCACCGCTCCGATATATCCAGCATTGCCCGAGGCACCCCCACCGCCGGAGCCAGCAGAGGACATCCTCGACTTCTGTTTGAACCCTGCTCTCTTGGGACTCCCACATCAACAACAACCGGTTCGGCAATAGGCTGCAGCCCAGACTGGGGACCCATTAGCTGAAGCTCCTTTGGTAAACTCATCCATGGAGCTTAATAGTCCAGACTCATCCACCATACGTGCCACTCATCATCACCAGTGTGGCAATTTACCCCTGGGTCACAACCCACCACAGGTATACTTAGAAGAATGGGAATGGGTATGGAAAGATCTCCCATTAATCTTATATCCTGGGATGTACAAATTCTCCCCCTAAGACAAATGCCAGGCATTGGCACTGATAGACAAAATATAGTAATCGTGCTTACACCCTGGACTCCAAGTGATCTCTACAATTTAACTCAAAAATTCCCCAAAATCAGGGAAGACCCAGAAAAATTTCAGGAAGAATTGCAGACTGTTATAAATTGTTATAATCCAACATGGGCTGACATTAATCAGCTCATGTGATCCATTTTGCCCAAAGAAACTATGCTGCATCTGTACGCTTCCTGTACTTAGCCAGATCAAAACCCAGGGACTGGCCAAGATTTGATTGACAAGAGAAATGCTTTGGTTCGGACAGTTCTCACAATTTGCCCAAAGAAGGCAGACTGGACCAAAATAAATACCTGTAAACAAAACAAAAATGAACACCCCAGTGACTACTTGGAACGCCTCAAACAGGCATTTGAACAGTATTCAGGAATGGATGACCCTGTTGGAAATGCTAAACAAGCAATAGTAGCAGCATTCGTCCAGGGACTTAACCCTAAAATTGCTGAGAAAATTCAAACAGTAATTATTAGCTGGGAAACTAAAGACTTGACTGAAGTCCTTGCCGTAGCCAACCATTTTCATAACAAAATGGAACGGTCTAAAGATAATGCTGAGACCAAGTTAATGGCTTTACAGATTTCTCAGTTGCAGGGCCCAGGTAGGGGAAGGAGATGTGGACAGGGAAGGGGAGGACTGGGTGGATTCAGGGGAAGAGGTAGATCCCTGAGCCCACAAAACCAAGCCTATGGGAACCAATGTCATTATTGCAAAGAAGAAGGACATTGGAAGTTGGAATGCCCCAACCGCCCCGACCAAAGACCCAGACCCCAGTCCCTGCCCCCACCTCCTCTTATCAATTTTCCCAGTGTTGAATAGGACAGCCTGAGGGACAGTGACATCATCGCTCCTTTGCTTGCTACCGACCAATCTGGTCCAGTTTGTTAAGTGTCTTATTTCTGGTAAACCTGTCTCCTGTCTTGTTGATACTGGAGCTTCTCGCTCCACACTAAAAGCCACTGAATTCCCTTTCTTGCCTCATTCTCCTGAAACTGTAAATGCTGTCAGCATAGGCAGACAACCTACCCCACATCCTGTTTCTGAACCTGTCTCCATTTCTATTGGCCCTTTGTCTGAGGATCATGCCTTCCTTCTTAGCCCTTGTGCACCTGTCAACCTTATTGAAAAGGATTTGTTGTGTAAACTGGGATGCGTAATTTATTGTAGCCCAGATGGTGTTTACCTTGAGGTACCGGAACATAGGGAAACTGAGCTCGTGGCTTTGCTAACCCAGGAGTACTCTGATCCTGACACTTCCTACTTGCAAGAGGAACTGTTAGCATGAGTACCTCCACAACTGTGGTCAACCCATGCAAATGAAGTGGGACATATGTTGAGTGCTGAACCAGTGTGCATCACCTTGAACCCTGCCAAGCCACTTCCTTGTGTCCCGCAGTACCCCATCTCAAAAGAAGCTGAGAAAGGGATCAAGCCTGTCATTTCATCACTCCTTGAGCAACGGATCACTGTCCCAGCACGCTCCCCTTGCAACACACCTATCCTGCCCATTAAGAAACCTAGTAAAGATACTTATAATTTTGTGCAAGACCTTTGAGCTGTAAATGCTGCTGTTCTACCTACTGCTGTTTTCCCGTGGTCCCTAACCCCGCCACTATTTTTTCCTGTATCCCTCCAGATGCCACCTGTTTTACAGTAGCGGACCTGTGGTCTGCTTTCTTCTCCATCCCCATTCATGAGGATAGTCAGTACCTGTTTACATTCACCTATCAGGGACTCCAATATACCTAGACAAGACTCCCTCAGGGATATACGGAGTCCCCCACCTTGTTTTCTCAGATCCTGAAGAAAGATTTGGACCCTATCACATTCAAAGGGGGATCCACCCTTATTCAGTATGTTGATGATTTATTATTAGCCTCACTGTGGCAGAGCACAGGGTGTGCTGCCACTTTAAGGGCCTGGAGCGGGCAGCCTCCAGGAGCCTGATGAGGGCAGCCATTTTGAGACAT